TGTTTAAGGTTGCAGACCCCTAACCTAACTACTGTTGGGACATGCAACTGTAAAGGGTAGGCTTCATTATGGTCATATCTTTAAGACTAACTCTATTCAAATTAATACATATTTTTAAATCAGATTTTATTCATAGTTTTATCCTGTCCATTTTGTCTTCATTACGATTCTTTTACAGAGGCTGATGCTCATTGTTTCATCATTGAGTAAACAGTGATTTGAATTAGGGTCATTTACTATGCATTTTTAAATGCCTCACTAGCTTTCATTGGGCTTTTATAATTTATATTTGATGTTTACTTCTTCATTTATTTACTACATACTGTAAATAGTTACATTGGGGAAATCTTTTGAATATGTTGAATAAATGTTTTTATTCAATAAATATATGTTATTTATGAAAGAATCTCATTTTTATTTACACATATCTGTAACATTTCCAGGTTTCAGCTTCTCAGCTATTAGCATCAAGTAATAAATGTTCAGTCCTGATCCTAGCTGACAGTGAAAATGAAAAGAGTAAATGGGTAGGAGTCTTAAATGAATTACATAGGATCTTAAAGAAGAACAAGCTCAAAGATCGCTCAGTCTACGCTCCCAAAGAAGCATATGATAGTACCTTACCCCTTATTAAAACTAGCCAAGCAGCAGCAATTATAGGTATGTATTTTTAAAAACATTTTACAGATTTCTTGTTTTAATGAAGTTTTAATACGTACTTGGATTTTGAAGTACCCCCATTTGCATGGAAGGGATTTGGCTCTGAATTTAAGAAAAGATAGGACAAAATTATAAACACAAAAATAAAGTTAATCTAGAAGCACTAAATCCAGTGAAATCTGCCCGTCCCCCTAACAAGTGTGTGATACACATTCAATATGCACTTTCTCACACACACATGTAGATCTTCCACAAGTCTTGTTCTAAAAAAGGATAGGCCAAGGACAAAAAAGTAAATACATATTAATTGAATGACTAACGAATACAATGGTACCTTGGTACTCATCCTTAATTGGTTCCGGAAGGCGTGATTACTACCAAAAACAATGAGTACCAAACAGATTTGTCCCGTATGGTATAATATAGTCAGTCACAAGGCAGCCGACAAGTTCTAGTTTGTGCATTGAGTACCATACAAACAATGAGTATTGGGACAAAATTTTCAGGTGAAAATGAGCTGAGTATCAAATTTGATGAGTTTCAAAGCAGTTGAGTACCAGGTACTACTGTATTAAAATGTATGGCCTGGAAAATATAATATCCCATTTTAAAACATGATTTTCCCATCTATGTATATAAACCATTCTGTGCATTCACACGCATAGCCCTCCCTTCTTCCAACAGGTATTGAAGGAAAAAAGAACGGGATGCACTGAGGAAAATATACAGTATTAGGGAGGGAAGCATAAGGGAAAATATAACTATATGGATAAGTAAAACATGGAAGAAGTATTTGACTAGTGTTGAAAGAAAAAAAGAGAAGCTGTTTCTAGGACTTTAAAAAATAGTTAAATTCACCAAGCAGCATCCCATTCCAAAACACCTGGTAATCTTCAGATGTCTTTTTGCTCAGCAAATGTAAAATTATTCTCTGCAAATTTACAAATATTTGGAGAAAAAAATCTTGTGTTTTGTCAGATAGGTATGATAATATAACCTCACAAGCCTCTGTATTAAATATTTTATAAAAAGGAAATAAAATAGAGAGAGTCCTCGACTTAGAGTGAGAACATCACTGACTTATGACCATTTTTCCCACATATGACCATTGCAGCATCCTCATGGTCATGTGACCAAAATTTCGATGGTTAGCAACTGGTCGTTATTTCTGGCAGTTGCAGTATCCCTGGTTCATGTAAACAATCTTTGCAACCTTCTGATAAGCAGAGTTAAAGAGGAAGCCAGATTCACTTAACAGTCAGGTTATTAACGTAACAACTGCAATGATTCACTAACAGCTGTGGCAAGAAAAGTCGTGAAATGGGACAAAATTCACTTAACAAATGTCTCAATAACATAAATTTTGGGCTCAATTGTGGTCGTAAGTCGAGGACTATCTGTATAAGACTAACAAAACAACAAATCTATGCTTATCACTCAAAATTAAATTAGGCTTGCTTCTAAGTAAATGGGCAACTTGATGTATTAGATTTCAATTCCTGTCGATTCTAAGCAAAGTGTCCAATAATAAACAAGCATTGGAACTTAAAATATTGGGAGGTATCTGATTACCAGTCCATATAGACTAAATGGCCAAGATAACATATGATCTAATGGAAAACTGGTAATTTATGGAAGGGAATAAAAATAAAGATAATGAGAGGTATTGTGAATTACAAAACTATTCAATGTGATAAAAAATGGAAAACAAAATGGAAAATAATTTATGAGTCAAATGAATTCTAAAATGTTTGGAAATTGTATTTTTCTTTGATCTATAAATGTGTACACTAGTTAAAATTGTGCATTAATTTTCTATGAGTTCATTTTTACCTTTACCTTTTTACTTTGAATTTTGAATATTTATGTAGTTTAGTTATTACAGAAATCCCAAGAGATTTTTTCCCATTTTCATTTAAAGGCAAAATGAAACAATAATGGTATCATTACACTTAATATTAAATTGGCTTCAACTATCCTGGCATCTGATACTTGCTTTTCCTTACACAATGTGTATTTCACTTTTTTTTCTTTTTCAGATCATGAACGAATAGCTTTGGGCAATGAAGAAGGGTTATTTGTTGTTCATGTTACAAAGGATGGTAAGAATATTAGATTTATATTGGAAAAGTGAAAATTCAAATAAGATATATATTTTTATTTCATTCAGTGTAGCCTAATAGTTATTAAGGAGGCTCATATTCAAATCCACTGTCGGCAAAGGAAACCTACTCAGTGACTTTGAGAAAGTACTTTCTGATTACTGATATTTTTGTGGTGGGCATTCAGCAAATCTTTTCCCCAGTAAGCATTTTTGCAGAAATTGACAAAAAAAAAATTGCAAATTGTAGTCAGGTGACGATAGGATGCTACAAATGGCCATAAAGATGAGCCAGTTGCCAGTCATTCCAAATGTAATTCCATCGTAACTTCAACAAGTCATAAATAGCTCTGAAGATACCTGTCATAACTTCCAGCGGTCATTAAGGAAATGGTCATAAGTTGAAGGCTACCTGTACTTAAAAACTCTTCAGTCTGTGGTATGTCAGAAGATTGGAACTCTAGTTTTGCCTTTATTTGTTTATTTATTCCGTATATATGGATACCCATTTCAAGCATATGGGCAGCTGACAAATATTATTGCTGGTTTTTTTATGAGGAATGGAATGGTGCTTAATATGAATATTTCATTTCTAATTGTGTTTAATCTTTCATCTAAAATCATTAAAGACAATTAGAAATGAAATATTTAAAACACATAGATAAAACTAAGTGTAACTTATGCAATTCTGCAACAACAGGCACAAACTCTCTAAATATAATATGGTTTTGTCTGACAGAGGATAAATGACATAATATTAATAGGTACTATACAGAACAGGAGTGTCAAACTCAATTTCATTGAGGACTACTTCAGGATTGTGTTTGACCCGTGGGATGGTGGAGGAATGGCCAACTCAACATCACTTGTGTCGTTGAGGTGGCCCGCGTGCTCTGCCAGGGAAAACGGAGCTCAGGACCTCCCGAGTTCCATTTTTGCTGGCAGAAGGTTGCAGGAGGCCGTCCAGCCAAAAACTGAGATTGGGGGCCCGTTTTCACTGGCAGAGGAACTGAGGGTCAGTCCTTTGCTCTTTCCAGGACCGCCTCATGGGCCGGATCTGGCCTGGAGGCTTTGAGTTTGACACCCCTCATATAGAACATAGAAACAAAGGATCCACAAGGAAGGCAAGGGAGGCAGTGTAAAGAATGTAGAACTGACTTTGGGAAAAGAAGGTACAAAGTTCCTGTTTGAGGACACTTGAAGAGACTCCTATTCAATGGTAATTACCCTGATAGAAAAAAGGGCAAACAAACTTTTAAAAATGCAAAATACATTGATTCTTTAAAAAAAATATTGGTGGGAAAAAAGCATTTTAGAAAAGTAAGTTTATACTTTTTATTCCAGAAAAACCAAAGAGATTTAATAAGCAAGATGGATTCTATAGCCTTGAGCCTACTCTTTATATTTCAAGACCATTTCTTGCAACCTTTTATATTTTGCAGAGATAATTCGTGTTGGTGACAATAAGAAAGTTCATCAGATTGAGCTCATCCCAAATGAACAACTTATTGCAGTGATTTCGGGACGAAACCGTCATGTACGACTATTTCCTATGACAGCTCTGGATGGTCGAGAAATTGATTTTTATAAACTGGCAGAAACTAAAGGTTGCCAGACCATCGTTTCTGGACAAGTGCGCCATGGAGCCCTTACTTGCCTGTGTGTAGCAATGAAAAGACAGGTCCTGTGTTACGAGTTAAATCATAGCAAAACACGCCATAAAAAAATAAAAGAAATCCAAGTGGCTGGGAATGTCCAGTGGATGGCTATCTTTAGTGAACGGCTTTGTGTTGGCTACCAGTCAGGATACTTAAAGTACTCTTTGTATGGAGAAGGAAATCCACATAGTTTGCTTCATCCAGATGACCACACACTGTCGTTCATTACACAGCAGCCAACTGATGCCATCTGTGCTGTTGAAATCTCAAATAAAGAATACCTGCTGTGTTTTAGCAGTGTAGGGATTTATGTGGACTGTCAGGGTCGAAGATCTAGACAACAAGAACTAATGTGGCCTGCAACTCCTTCTTCTTCCTGTAAGTTTCTGCCATTACGTTAATTAAGTAAAGGATTGTTTTTCCTCGTGGCTTGATGGATATACACAGAATTCAGTTAATAACCAGTTGTAGGAGATGCGATACTGAAACATAAATAACTTTTAAACTACGTGCTATGATAATAATCCATTTGGTATAATATTGTAATGTTACAGTTCTATCCCCTCTTTCCTTCTTACCCATCTATTTCCTCTTCATTTATTTTTTAGCACTAATATTATTTGGCAAGCCATGATGACTTTCCTTCTAAAGAAGAATCATAGATTTTGAAATAGTTCTCTGCTTTGGAGGCACCATGCCATGCATCATGGGAACTATTATAAATTGTTTCTAGAATTAATGCAAGGAAAGTCCTATTGATATAACTAACTATAGTTACTACAGTTGAAGTTGTCAGTAAGATTAGTGATAAAAGAGCATATTTAATAAATATCCACTGGTGATAGGGGTGTTCTGCTAATAGGAAGATGCTAGAAGTTGCGGTATTAAGTAATTCTGCATTTCCTCAATTCTTCAAAAAATATTCATAACCTCAGAAAACACCCCCTTGTGTGGGGTGTGTGTGTGTGTGTGTGTG